TGAGGTTAAATTCGGAATTAGTTAATCGAAGTCGGCTATTGGAACAAATGACCGACCTGCTTAGATTACGCCCTTTGGACCATGTAATGCACATGTCACCAACTAGGTGCCACTTTGCGCGATGTTTGCTGAGGCAGGTAGCGAATGGGGAAAAATCAAAAATGATCAAACAAAAACGTGAAAACCTCAACCAGGAGACTTGGTCAGGTAGGTCGCGTTAGTCTCTTTGGATCCGGACCTCAAGATTGTGGTGACCGGCATTTAGAGACATCCAGTGAGTGTCACGAACACTGTCGTTCGTGAATCTACTACTATTCTTGCAGCCTTAGTCTATATGAGAATTGTCTATCTTCTCTTTGACTCGGCTTTCACCATTCCAATCTTCCTTCTGCTCTTTTACACAACTGGGCAGCCGAAACAACAACGGAAACCGCCGCATATAGCTGCTTCTTAACTGGCTGCAAAAGCTGAACCGAACTAAGTACTAAGAAAATCTGCGGTGAAGTCGAGGTTTGGAAAGATTACATGTGTTGAAGTAGTAGGTGAGATTAATAAATCATTCAAATTATCTAAACCATGTTTGGTCACGTTAAAGATATGCAGACAGTGTTTTTTAAGAGTCTTATCGTATCTGCTGTGAATGTTACACAGTCCTGTTTAACATACATCTATAACAAACCATTTGTGAATACATAACCCTTAATCGGCACGGTTCTAAAGGAATAAACATCGGTCTTCTGCCGGGGAAATTTATGTGTGCTTGTTCGTTCGCCAACATTCTCGAACACGTTAGAAGCTGTTTCATGATTGAATAGAACAGGATAACATAGCTGAGTAGGAGAGGTTTGTGAAGACCGTTCACATTTTGAATACCGGTTTAAAAATGAGCGCGAGCATCGGACTTAAGTTTTTTTATCACTGGTATTTGTCTTTCCTAACACATTTTCCGTCGGCGGTTTGCTGAAAAAAAAGACATTTACCAACCATCTGTGCCCGCGGATCTATGTTCACTACCTTGGATCGCGTCCCGTTCATCAGGACAGGTCGAACCTCACGCCACTGCCGCTAGGGTCTTTTTTTCTTGTCCGCATCGGGTTATTTGGTGATAACCACACTCTCTGCTTCAGCTTTTTACCAATTTTCGGTTGCGTTTCGATGTTTCAGAACACGGTGTGTTTCTAAGTATGGTGTCATAAAATCCTTTGACTATAGTCCATCCAATTATTCGGTGTTTATTACTCATTTAGTGTTCTTGCTAAAGACGGAAGGTGCGTTAGGGAATTAGCGTGTCGAATAGACAGAAGTATCAAGTTTTTTCTACGCTGAGAAGCCACTTCCGTGTGACATTTATACCTTTTTTAACTTCAAGTGAATCCGTTGTAACTTCAAGTGAATCCAACCGATCGCACTTCATTGGAAACTCCACAAGATGATTGGTGTTTTGGCCGTCAAATGTCATCGATTGGACCGGGTCCTTTCCGAATGAAATACCTTCTCGGTAAACAAACAAAAGTACTTTTTGAGTGAGTTACCGAGCGAGGATGAATGTTTCGGTGGTGTGAGGTGGGCCGTCCTCTCCCCACACACGTTCCACCCGGGAACGTCATTTTCGTGATCGTTGATCGAGTGTGCATCATAGATACGAACGAATGAACCTGGAGTTAATTGACTTCTGTCGGTCGGGTAAGGAAGCGAGTCATGTCAAGATGGATCGATAAGTCGGTCACCATGCCCAGACGTGAATGTGAGCATGATTCATTGCATGAGTGGAGTCAGTCTAAGCCCTCAATAACTCAACGGGTGAATTCCATTGAAGCCGAGTTTCTCACCAATATACATTTTCTGCCTCTCGGAATTATTTTATTTTCGGTGACTACTGCATAATGACCCCTTTAAAGGTCTATTCGTGAAGTTACAACGAATTCACTTGAATTTAAAAAGGTATAGTTTGCGTGGTGACAGATTTGACTACCTCATGTGTGTCTACTACTAGGAATTCAATCTTGACTTTGCTGATCCCTATCTACTGCACCTCAAACGGCGGATACCGCATTGCGTAGTCAAGTCAAAGTAAGCTTTATGCACGCGTAGGGCTAATTTTCAGCGATTTTTCACGATAATACAGTGGAGCGGAGGTGAATGACGTCCGTGTGTGAATAGGTCAATTCAAAAAATAAAATATGACAGAACAGCGAACGCAGGAAGACGATAGTGACGGATAAAAAAACGAATAAATAAACTGACTCATGAGGTGTTCAACCAAACTTGTAATAATAGGTGCCCGATTTACTAGAAAGCGAGCAAGAAAAAGGAGGATGCTGTTTCTGTACGCGACGGTGCGTGCGGGAATCAGCCTATAATGAGAGCGGGTACGGGGGTTTGACATGGATTTAGTAAGTTCTTTGTGCAAGCAGTGATTGTCATTGTTCAAGATTCGGTCTGCTATTCTTTCACATGCGTCGATATGTTTGCACACAATAAAATCAACCAAAACTTCTCTCGCTATGCCGCTACATCGAGAAAGGAGTGTAATAGACCTGGAAATTAATAGGAAATCTTTTTCTTTTGAACCGGGAAAAATACAGGGGAACAGTAGAACAAACGAAGGAGGATGCATTACGTTTGGAGGAACAGCAAGCTTCCTAAGCCTGAAATCATAAAAAGAGAGTTTGCGAACCTTGTTGTAAACGTTCTATACATGTAAGGTCCAAGGGATTTTCCTGTTGGTATTCGCCGGCATGTATTAGCTCCTTGTGGGTAGGTATTCGCCTCAGATCCATAATTTCACTGTTATTTTCAACGCACGTTTCATTTAGGTCGGAACCACTAATTTGCAATTTTCATACATGTCTGATTATCAAGACACGCCCGAATACTCGCGTCTGTTCAATGTTCAGTTTCACACCGTGCGCGTGCATTGCGCATATGTACGAAACAAGTGTATCAAGCCTCCTCATTTTTTCCTAGCTGCGCTCCTACTCACTCATTATCCCTCTCACGGTGTTTTTTGCAGTTGTCAAGTTGATCAAAATGTGTGTGTAATGCGTTTGTTTTCGCACAATGATTTGTCCCCTCGTCCTTCATTACAAGCGATACGTAAGAGGTGGCTATGAGCTAGTACGTTCCTCTAATGAGAGGCGTACATGACCATTGCCCAACCATTCAAATCTTGACCAGTTCTCGCATCGATCTCTACGGAAATTCTATGGTTCCCTCTGTCGTTAGAATCCTTGCAAACCGACAGCGCGTTTTATCTTTAATGTCTCAGCAACCTTGGATGTTAAATGTTGTACTCGTATCATTTTTTTCTTACGATAAGATGATGTGTAATTTGTGACTGAGGCGCGGACATCTGTCCATGCAAAAGCTGATACAAATACAAGTGCATGTTTGTAATGTTCTTTGGTTGATTTACTCCTAAATGCTGTTTTTGATTTCTGTGTAGATCTTATCTGTACATCATCGCCTACGTGATTGCTTTGGTGTTTCTGGGCTTGCAACTGTTATGTTGCTTTCTATTCAAACGGTTTTCGGTGAGTTATTGTGGTCTCCTCAATCTATCCGGCGCTCTGTTTTCTACTTGTTACATATTAATAATTAAGACACGAGTAGTGCCCAGTGGTGTTTTTATTGATACAGTCTTTTCGTCGTATTTTTATTTTGTACCATGCAGCATATCTGGTATTTCATAAGCTACACAAAAGTTATGCCGCCAAATCAAATTATTCGTTGTTACCATATTCTCAATAGAACAATAATGATTCTTCCTGTGTTTTCGCAGGGACTTCATAAATTTTTTCACTTATTCGATTAATAAATATCGTGATTGTGCAGCGTATAAATTGCTTTGGGTTTTATGGGGTTGATTTTGTTGTCCAACGTTTACTTTCATATTGGAGTTGGTTGTCTTCCACGTACCGATTCTCTATCCTTCATCGTAATTGAGTTCAATTAAGTTTTTTGAATGTCCACTTTCACGCGACAGTTTCGGTTGATACTTCAGGCTGTTTTATTTTCAGTGGCGGTAAACCAAAGTTGAGGATCGATTGTGTATGCACACAAGCATCTACCTTGACGACGTGCATCCGTATCACGCATTGTCTATGATCCGTGATTCGGTCTATCTC